ACCAAAGTCATAATACTAACAAGAAACTACATATCAGTACAAAAAGCATAATTGAAACAATAATTAGGATATTTTGTTCGTACATTCAGACGTTCACATGTCAAGGGCTATTCTTGTTAGTCACGTATAAGTATCTATTGCACAGATTTTTTTGATTTGACAGAATTTTTGTATGTACCATCTGCGTCGAAAATGTTAAAAATAAGAAGTAGTCCACAGTCCAATATAAGCAAGTGATCAGCTCCATAATTTGGTCAGTCAATATTTTAGTTAATGACACGGAATTTTTTTCTTTTATAACTTATTGAACACAGTACATTTTTGTAAATATGTAATAAATTCACAAGTTAATAATGTTTATTTATAATATTGATAAGTACCTGGTAAAATGCGAGAACACAACGTAATTGATAGAACTATCGGTACTTATAATCCTAAGAATCTGACGATGTATTAATTATAATTAATGACATTGTAATAACCATGTTGTACCTTCTAGTTGAGTAGCATATTTACTTAAAATTATTGTATAACCTTTATTCTAAATAGTGTCTTCGTGAATTTAGATTACTTCACATTTTCATATGTTTAGTGCCCTTGTTGTAAAATAATTCAGTTAAAGTTATGGTACCTACCTACATAGCTAGCATGTGTATTGTTATCTACACTATTTACATTAATAGTATGTTTATCATAGTTTTATGTCACTATTACTTCACTATATTAATATACATACATAACGCGTCAAAAACTTACCTTTTAACATAATATGTGCACAAACATGCGCCACACACAAGAACGGAGAGTAAAACTAGCGGAAAAATTTAAACACTGGCACCCAACTTCATGATGGCAGTCTTTGACGCGTAGTGTACAATGTGTTATATTATTGTAAATTGTTTAATCTTAATTGTATATCATTTTAACTATTTTAAAACCCTACATATTTGATTGAATGTTTATCCTTTATGTATTTTGCAATTCCAATGAAGTTTATATTATTTTATGTGGGCAATTATAGTTTATAAAAATATGTCTCCTGGTTTAGTAGGTACCGAATTAAGTACTTTATTCATATAGATATTTTTGACGTGTCCGATCGTAGCTACTACACTCAGCTTTTTATTTATCTAACAACTAGTCGACAACGACAATATGACTCTAACATACATCTAGAAATGACCATTATGTAAAAAATGTACTACGTTTGTGCGTAGGATGTTTTATATACTCCGTTACTTCATTAGTTGTTGTGTATAATAGCAATAATTTGGAAGAAAGAAAATGTCTTAAAAGTATTTTATATCAGTGCAAACTGAAGAGCGTCTTGGAGTCTAAATATTATTATTATTAGCGTAAGCTTATTTTACGGGCATCACTGACTAGGTACTAAATGTTAAGTATCACGGCTAATTGCTATGAATTTATCTCGAAACGTATCGTCGATGGGTACCTACCTACGAATACTGCATGTTGAGTACCTACTTTCGCCATTTCTACATGTTGTCTAAATTCTGATGATAAATCTTTCATTTCCTCCTCAAGGCAATGGTATCATGTTATAATAACCACTCGTGTACATTGAATACGCTATAGGTACCGTCTCAAATAAACGTTTGTCGCTAAGGCCCTACTCAAAGTATGGAAACCTTAAACTTTTTCGCGATACGTTCTTCATATACTTGGAAGCCTAGACAGCAATTTCATAATAAGTGCTAAAAATATAAATGAGGAAAATTTGTACATTCCAATGTCAAATATATGCAATTAAGCAAAAGATAAAATATTACAAAGATGAGTTATTAATTACATTACGTTAAATGTGGTTTATAATAAGTGTACCTATAACAGTTACAAGAAGTTACTTAAGCAATTGTTAAGCCAGTATGTATCAAATTTATTTAAATATCAATACTACATAGGATTCAGAATCATGAAGTATCTAGTTTCTTGTTAAGAGCCGGTGGATACATCGATACGTCGTTATTAATGGTTACCAATAGTTTTAAGGTCGCAAAATGATCAAATGTGTTGATTAATTATCTCTCGATAGATATTATGTGTACGTATTCAGTTATCAATATCACAGCAGTTTGTTAGTGTCCTGTCAGCTCCAGTTTATCATAATAACTGCCTTTGACTTGGTTTCTGTGATTATTTACCACCAATGTTGTTGCCTGGTAGCGACTAGCTGGCAGATATTCTACTGTGATATTAATGATTTTATTTATTATTTTCTAAATTATTATTTATAACTTTAATGTTGAATGTGAGCATGTTATATTTTACTGAAAAAATCTTAGATTAGATGATGTTATCTTTATATTGTATCTAAAGTAAAGGTCCAGAATGTGTTCCATATTGATTTAATATTGATAGTTATAACAGTAATATTATTAAATGTTTCTGTTAATAATTTGAAAATGATATTGTAACAAATATTGAAACAGGAAGAATTGTACATCACAAAACTTAACAGCTATAATAAACCGCACTTTGAGCTCTCTATCTGTAGTGTATAATACTGCATTTCATAGCGGACTACATTTGACTGTGAAGTATTGTACCTATATAATAAATATATCTATCAACAAAATAATGTTAAACAGTTTAATGAAGTATATGTATATTGAAAAATGTTATTATTTTATTACATGCTACTTCAAGTAGACTATTTGCCTGAATATACCTCAATAAGTTTAGTATGAATTTGTGTGTCTTGAAAAATATATTTCAATTATTAGAATCTATGTGGCATTATTTTTCTGACCCTATTTTAAATCCTGCGTATTATTAATTTACTATTGACATTTACATTAAGTTAGCAAAGATTATGCTGACTGTGTAGATCAATAATGAAAACTTGAGAAACCATCTACTTAAGGTCCAGTGGATAAAAATTTGCATGAGTCATGCAGTGCGTGCAGAGTAGGTGTCTGACACTTGAATAAAGAAATCATAAAAAAGTACTAGTGGATTGGTCAATATTTATAAATTACATTCCTACATAGCTATGGATTATAAACCAATGCAATATATACGATATAATAAGCAACCTCTTTTAGGTGAAAACTTCATTTGCTAAGTATATTTATTTGATTTATTATATTCTTTAAACGAGTTCCTTCAAATGGTAAAAAGAATATAATAAATATCGTTTACCCAAGTAGGAACTAAAGAACTTACCTGTAACGTTCTTTGGTGCACGAAGAATCCACATTATTTGCTAATTGAAAAGATATTGCAACTGCCAATGGTATACTTTTATCTAAATGTAGCAAATTGAAAAATGCATAAGCAAAAGCAATAAGGCACGATTAAAAAGCCAAAAGCAACAAACAAAACCAGCAATTAAAGCAGAAAACAGTTGAATTAAGTATCATTTAGTGTAGTAAGATTGCTTTTTTCAGTGTTTTTGTGTACTGGTTTCTATCAAGCGACTTGTACAACATATTATACACTTTAAATAAAAAAAAACAATGTTTCTTACATTTTCAATTTTTTTTTTAAAGTAACTGTAGAATATAAAAATTACCGTAGTACTAATAGTAGTATAATAGTCTATGGCTCAATTAGGGCTTGGGGTACTTTTAGAAGCATAAATAACAAAGTTTTTATTTCTATGGTAGATTTATATCACTGATATGATAAGAATGAAATGAATGATGATTTAAGTTTAATGATTAAGTTTAATGATTGTTTATTCACTCATAAAGAACATGGTTCACTTACAATGAGCTTAAATGACTATTTATAGCTATGTATACAGAGTCATGACCAAACGGTGTTTAACCAGTGATTGTCTAATCACTATTTAGCCGATGACCTTTTGTGGAGTGAAACACTTAAATAATCATTTCGTGAGACAATAAATTACTGTTTGAGGAGGAACTGGTGTAGACGCCAGAATTTTACATTTAGCATTTTTTCAAGGCCTTCGTACTAGCGAGAGAAAAATACTTTGTACTACGGAAAGTACGCGAGGTCATCTAAATAAGTCGTCAGAGGACCGCCTCTCGGCTCGGCAGACACGGCTTCCAAGCAGGTGGTACCCAGCTCGGTGGCTAAAAGCTGAGTCAGACTCAGACTACAATGCTACGGATATGGACTATGACACAGTGAGCTCGGTATGTAGTATTGATTTTGTGTCGACTCGGGATTTGAATTCAACATTACGCGGGTACCGGCGAACGAGTCTAGCGTGCCAGCAGTGTCGCGCTCGCCGTCACAGATGAAGGAAAGTGCGCGTGAATCACGGCAGAGGGCGCGTTGGGCCCACACCGCAGCAGCCTCGAGTGGCCATTAGCAGCGCAAGAGTCGCCGCGTCGCGGGTCCCGGAATGCTGATTATGAATATGAGCCTCTAGGATGGCTTGAAACTAGTCGATTTTCTCATCAAACAGTTACGTGATTAAGTCAGAAACATAATTTTATTTCTTGACTTACCCTTACACACAGTATAATAAACACTGCTTGTTCAACGCTATATTGCAAATTGTCACATCAATTAGTTATTCGCAAATCTGGTTAAAAAACTGAGTGCTAACCGTAAAATTAAATGAAAAAGTCCAAAGTAAAGTTGAAGAAAACCGTAGAATTGATGAAAAGGAATTTATACTTAGTTCTGGGCTTTTAGAACCTCTACTTATTACTTCATACAACAGCCAGAAAAAAGTTGTTCAAGGATTAAAACAAAAATTTATTTTTAACTAAAAATTTTCTCTCATTACTTCAATGCATTCGTTTGTTGTCACATTGCCATTCCACTGTATTTTTGCCACTTGCGTACGAAATGTATCTTACAATGTCGCATGTTATCGCATCACAAATAGCAAACGCAACACAAAACTTCTCGTTCTTGTTGTCGTTACTGTGATGGTGTGGCACCAACATTATTAATCAATGAATGAATGATCTGAATGAATCCGTTTTTCAAAACGCATTTTTTTTCTTCTATGACAATTAAATGGTATTTGTTATCTGTGCTTAATGTTGCTATATCAAATGTCAGTGTCAAATGTGTCATACTCTGTCGTCATCGTCAAAAATCAATAACTTCTTGTTTTTCTATTGATCGAGTCTCTTATTAGTATATAGTGCTCTGTGGATCGAGACATCCAGAATAATGAATTAGTAACTATTGATTTTGTATTGACCATTATCAAAGTATAAGTATTATTTGGACTCGGGGCTAGATATTGTGGATTGAGAAGCCAGCTAATTGAAAAGTTTGCAGGATGGGTGCAGTGTTGGGCCTTTGTTCAGCTGCTCAGGTGATCGTTGTTTATATTATTTCTAATCCACTTAAGTTTCTCTTTTTACGTGTTTAACATTTCATTAGTAAATTCGAATGCTATATTTTTATTATTAGAAAGTGGGTACTTGTAATGGATGGATTGAACTATTCAATATTGAAATACGTACCTACATTTAATATAGGTGTCCTTGTAATCTTAAATTCGACTTAAACTGTCAAACACCAAGCGGTCACCGGTGACCTCAACCTATTGTTCTTTAATTGTGTCTATAATTATGGTGCTCGACGAGTTAAGAAAACTGAATATATCTATTCTGTTTCTATTCCACACAATATTTATTTATAGATACAATACTCCAGAAACATCTATCATGCCTCAAGTTCATCCTTGAATGTCAATATAAAAATAGGTACCCACCAATAATAATGGCTTCTGTGATTAGAATAAAGGATTTGAAAAACGAAATGTTTGTTTTACTGTTTTAATGTTGATCGACAGTTGGCATGTTGCTGTGGCAGTGCAGCTTGTTCCCTGTGCTGCTCGGCATGTCCATCATGTGCCAACTCGACATCCACTCGTCTCATGTACACACTCATGTTGCTGCTGGTAATGGTGGTGGCTTGCGTTACACTAGCTCCTGGGTTACATGATGAAATGCAAAAGGTATATAGTTCATTAAAATCTTGTGAACACACTCATCATCTATGACTATACTAAAGAATTATATTCATGAATACTATTGCTTTCTAGGTTCCATTTTGTAAAAATTCGACAAATTATATACCCGGCGACTTAAAAGTGAACTGTGACCAGGCTGTTGGTTACTTGGCAGTGTACAGGTAACATCTTAATTTGTTTAAACCACAACAGTGATACCTTGAAACAAAGTACACATAATAAAGTTACAATATGTTTTCAGAATATGTTTTGCAACATGTCTCTTTTTTGTTTTGATGGCTCTTATAACAATTGGAGTAAAGTCGTCTAAAGATCCTCGTGCTGGCATACAAAACGGGTAAGTATGTCTCAAAATATACTTGTTATGAACATTCAGGCAGTGTTATCTGAGTGTCTGTAAATGTGACTGATAATATTGTTTACAGTTGTAGTTGATAAGCATAAATTATGTTTTCTGTTTCAGCTTCTGGGGCATCAAGTATCTGGTTGTTATTGGAGGCATAATTGGGGCTTTCTTTATACCTGAAGGACAATTTGCTTCAACCTGGATGGTGTTTGGCATGATCGGCGGTTTTGGCTTCATTGTTATACAACTCATTCTAATCATAGATTTTGCGCATTCTTGGGCTGAAAGATGGGTTTGTAAGTATTACAGTTCAATAACACAGATACAATTCCAGCAACATATACTTTGATTTTTTTATACCATAAGCCGGTAAACAGGCAGATGGATCACCTGATGGTAAGCAATCAGCGCCGCCCATGGACACTTGAAACCCCAAGGTGTTACAACTGCTTTACCGAATTGAGAATTTTAGGATTATAGAGAATTCGGGGAGACTGGGGAGGGGGTCATTGGGCCTCCGGTAACCTCACCCACACGACGAAACGACCGTTTTCTGTGAGGCCGTGGTATCACCCCGGTCGAGCCGGCCCATACTTGCCGAAGCATGGCTCTACCACACTTGACTTTTCAAACTCATAAACCGCTAAAACTAGTTAAACACTCAAATCTATGTAAAGCTGAATATCTGTTTGTTTGTCTGAACATGCTAATCTCCAGAACTACTAATTGAATAGTTCTTTTTGTGTTGAATAGTCTATTTATTGAAGAAGGCTATAGGTTAAAAACATCACAAATAGTTTCTCTCCAAAAGTCAATGTACAAGGTGGTGTACATATTTACCACCTATTTCATTCTTCTTACTTCTATACGTACGATAGAAAGCCGCATGAAATACAGGGCCCGCCGAAACTTGTAACATTATCATACTGAATGATTTCATAATGTGACGAAGCATGACTCATAGCGTTAATACAATATAATGCGTATTTCCTATGTTAACAATCTCAGGATTTCCCCAGTTTCAATATGTGTCTGAAGAGGAAACTCTTCAGATTACAATTTAGAAGTATTCTTGTTCTCATATTTGTAATTATAATGAAATCACAGGTATCTTATATGTAACTATACACTACTATACAGTTACTATAGTTCTAGTTCGATAGACACTTTTTATCCCGGAAAAATTTGATATTCTCGAGGAAAAACGAAATCATTGGTATAGATGGCGCTGTGTGTATATGTCACATAGGCTACTTTTTATCCTTTTGTGACGCGAGCGAAGCCGCGGGTAAAAGCTAGTAATGAATAAAAGCCGAGCAGAGCGGATGAAACCGCGCGAGAGAAGATAGTTTGTCATAACTATACGAATCTAATTTAATTTGTTTACAGCCAATTATGAAGAAACGCGTTCGCGGGTCTGGTATTCGGCACTACTGTTCTCCATGCTCATTGGCTTCACTTTCGCATTCATTGGAGCCATCCTGCTTTTCAAGTATTACGCTGAGGTAAATTGCTTCTTTAGTGCTACTGACTTATATCGAACTAGACAAGTCATCAGTTTAAATATGTATGACATCATAACTGACGTGACCAGACGATCCGTTTTAAACGGGACTGTCACTTTTATAATTACGAGTCCGCGAAATGAACTCTGGGACGCAAAATTGTCTCGTTTTCGGAAACCAAGCGAAAATTGAACAATTGAACCTGTATAACGACCGTTCGGACGGCTCGAGTGGTGTACGAGAGAGATACAGCATCATCATAACTCGCCTATTTTTGACGAAGTACAGTCGAAAAACCTTTAAGTACCTTTGTGCAGTTAGTAATGTTAACCTTTTGGACACAAAGATTGTGTTTACAGGATCTATCATAGGATCTAGCCACTAGCCGTACTAAATGTAAATAAACCAACGGCCCGTTTTGAGTTGAAAAATGAATGGTCAAGTTAGTCATGATGTAATTCCCTGACAGAGAGGAGTGTGTAACGTGATATCACTTTTATAATTCTCTAGACAGGTACTACAAGATGTCAGTTTAAACATAGTTCACCCACTTCACTCTTCAATAGTATTGTTATTCATTAATTATATTATTATATGTCGCCCTCACCCCACATTATTGTAATGGGGCAGTGCATACGTTCTCTACTAAATGTACTATTATATATTAGGTAAATTCAGTACAATTGGGTAGTTTCCTAGGTATAAAATAAATTGTTTCAATTTTTCAATGCCATAAATAATTAAAAAATTAATCATACTCTCATCCATTGATTTGACAATTTACGTACTTTTGGAATTTTTCTCGCTAATTTTAACACGTTAAACGCCATTTGGGTTACCAGTGACGGGCGTTAGCGGAGGATTTACCTTCAACAGTTTTTTTTGGCAGTCAGTCTTAAGGATATAAGTATGCTATTTGAACCAGAAATATAATGACGTCATAACTTTCGATCCAATCCAATACAAAATTCATAGAAAAGTATGGTTTTTGACATTTCAATTAAAGTAACTAATTTGATTACCTGTCAACTACCGTATTTTAGTTGGCGTATTATGAAAATTTCTATATTTATCTGCGAAAATAAGTGTAATACCCACTTTTCGCCAGTTATATTATAAGTCTCGTAAATATTATACAGAAAACTTATTGTCATACATTGGGTACAGTTTGGAACTCCATGCTGATAACTTTGGAAAGCCGAAAATACTCAACAGTGTTGAAAGGCTGACTCATTAACACCCGAATACTGAAAGGCTACACAATTTTAAGTTGTATTTAAATATCGTGCTATCTCTGTCATTTTACAAAGAATTTGTAGTGACAGAACTATACCTCTATTAAGCGCGACTTAAATTGAGTAGCCTTTCACTATTTGAGCATAAGATTAGCAACTGTAATTAATATTCGACTTGTTTCCTTGCAGCCAGAGGGTTGTGGTCTGTACAAGTTCTTCATTTCAATAAACCTGATCCTCATCCTGATCGCGAGCGGTATATCAGTCCTGCCGGCGGTGCAAGACCACCAGCCGCGCTCGGGGCTGCTGCAGTCGGGCGTGGTCGCCATGTACGTCATGTACCTCACTTGGTCGGCTCTCTCCAATGGCTCCAGGGATTGTAACACAGTCGCGACCTATCAGGTTTGTATACAGAATCACAGACAGTGTTGTACTGACTAACACCACTGATTTGAAAGGATTGCAGAAATACTGAGGGCTTTGTATGAGTGTGCTTTACGTTTAAATGAGATCGAAACCAGACCGCGTTCGACGCTCTCATTGACCGGTTCCAATGAACCAAACAATCAGACTGCCGAACGCGGTCTCGTTTGTTAACAGTATTAATATTTAAATAATACAGCCAGGTCTAAAATCGTATAAATATACGTATTATTCTATTGTATATTTATATAATCATATTTGTATGTAAAAGTTGTACAAATATCTGTAAATTGTATGCATGTTACATGATACACTACATTATTGTTTGTAAAATTATATTGTGTATAATGTACAATCATTAATTATGTATTTATTTGGATATGCTTAACCAGGACGAAATTGGATATTGGGTATGTGAGATATAAAATATCAGTTCTTGTATAGTATAATACTATGTTATGCAGTATAGTGTGTTAAGTAATAAATATCTATGATTTATTTTCTCCTAGTATATTTGTATGTAATTTTGCAATTTTTATTTTATAGCATTCTTGTACACACAAACCATCATTATTATTGTTTAAAATTTCATACATACTCTACATGTACATACTGAACCTGTATAAACATACAGTCTAGATCTGCAGTACCAATAAAAGCATATCAATTGGTTATCTAATTTCAGGCAAAACCTATCACACTACCCTATGGGAATTTGGTTGGGCTTAGCATTTGTTTTAGATAATCTATTGAATATTTTTCGCTAGTTCTCTTGTACTTTATTTTAAAAATAACACGTGAGTATATAAATATAAAATATTTAAATGATTTCTCAACAGTCATCCTTCGACAAGCAGTCTATCATCGGGCTGGTCATTTGGGTGTGCAGTGTATTGTACTCGTCAATCAGAACTGCGTCCTCCTCGTCTAAAATCACCATGTCGGAGCATTTCCTAGCCAAGGAAGGCGCAGGTGAATATAATATTTTCTATAATATTTATTACTAACTTTAATTATTTCAATTACTCACAACTAACAACAATTACAAGGAAAGTACTTGATGGTAAGATATATGCCACATGCTTTTTCACTTTCTTTATAAACAGGCCTGAAATGTTTTGGAATGTCGTTATCAGTGTGTCCTCTAGCTTATTTATTAATATCTTTTCTGTATTAAATGATACCATTTTGCATATACTTTTTTTCTATCTAAATTATTGTTTTGTTTTATCATGGTTTATATTTCGTTGTTAGTTTGTGTTGCAACAGCTGGCCATATTTTTATATGAAACACAATCAGCTGTGTTCATATTTCTTTTTTTTACTTTTTATGTAACACTAACGCATACTGTGATTCCTTGCGGACATAACGCGCGGCGGCGGCGCGGTCTAAGGGCAAGGAGGGCTCATTGCTAACGAAGGTAACGCAATGTACTTGGCCTTAAATCATGTTACCTTACCAGCCAGACGTTAATCGCCCAGTTTCCATTATCTGCTAACAAATTTTTGCTTTTTCATTTCATTAATTTAACTCACAACATCCTATACTTTTCTCTATTCTTTTAGATTAATGAAAAAGCATAGTTTTACTTATTTTCTTTTGTAATCAACTTCGAGCCAGCTCCTATAAACGTACACAAGCCTAGTCCTATGTCGAAGACGCAAGGTTAATTAATGGTCTTGTGTAATAATGTACATAGGTATTGTTCCTTGCTAGTTCAAAGGATCACTTACTATAACTAGCTGCTAATAGACACGCCGTCGTTTCACAACATTAGTGATAGTATTTTTGATATAATTTTTTATTAACAATGGACAGCTAGAACCATGAGTTGTAATTCAGTAGTTATGTAGAGTTTTGTTTGTACATATTATTTTGTTCCGATATATGTCATTTATTTTAATGATTTTTCACCTTGCGGACCCTGCTTTGTACGAAGCACTTAGAGTCCTCAACCTACTGCAATCTGTCTTTCTTTAATAAATATTTTACAAGGTTATAATGAAGTCGAAATTATAAACAAATTAGACAAATTGCAGCAAGTTGGCGTTGCTGCAGTGTGTACAGTTAACATACGCTTTGTTCCACTCCCACTTATGCTTTAGTTTGCATCTAACTGCTGTTGTAATGAATATAGTTAACAAGGCATGTTGGTATGCTCACTGAGCGCAGGATATAATTCTGTAGAGGGCGCTGACGGTGGCGAGGCGGGCCGCACTGAGGAGACCAAGGTGTTTGACAACGAGAGCGACGGCGTGGCCTACTCCTGGACGTTCTTCCACGTCGTGTTCGCTCTAGCCACCTTGTACATCATGATGACACTAACAAATTGGTACAAGTAAGTAGCTCTAATCTCTATCAATTTTAGGGACTGCTTAGAATTCTGTTATTATAATAAAACATTAAGTATTAATATTATGGTATTATTATTACTTACTTTCCATTAATTGTATTGCAATAACATAGTTTGATTAGTATGTTCATTGATTTATCCGTCTAATAGCAATTACGCAACTTTCGCACAGAATTATTCTATTCCTTTTAAATAAAATCACCAAATGAACATTTCAATAAAAATATTTCCAAGGATGATTTCCAAAATACTACAGCGGAATATATTTCTTTTACAGCCCGAGTTCACAGCTTTCGAAGGAGAATGTTGCCTCGATGTGGATCAAGATCACATCTTCTTGGCTGTGCGTGGGTCTCTACATCTGGACTCTGGTCGCACCAGCCATATTCCCTGACAGAGAATTCAACTAGTTGATTTCTTACTGATTCATAAATGGGTGTTTTATGTAATACTGAGCTATATCGAGTGGAAGCTATACTATATTCAGCCCTGAAAGGTATAAGCTTGATTGGCGCAGGTGGAGCATAGAACAACTAATAATTATAATCTGATTTTGATTAGTAACTTGACTATAAAATGTTTGCTGTCAATTGTCTTTAGATTCTCGTAGAACATTTACCTCCAGTTTCTCAAAGGCTTGTCAAATCAATAAACAACTATGTGTCAGTTGCCATGGTGATCAAATAAAACGACTTATACTTAATTTCATAAGTGAAGGCTACCTTTCTCAGGAACAATCAGAATCCAGAATGTTAATCACCACTCAACAAGGCAGTGTAGTCAGCCGGCAATCGTATTCAAATACCTATTCAAATGTTAAGCAAAAAATAAATAGCATGTTAAATTTTGATACATATTTTGTCGTTTCCATATTTCAATAGTTATTTTTACACGATTCTTTCATTACTACAACCCTAGTAATCCAAAATGCCAAATGTCAATACATCGCCTTCTTTCATCAAATGAAGTATAATCACGCTCCTAGCAACTCAACTGACATCCGTCAAGAGATTATACGCTGATTGGAGTTGATCAGCCTTTGAGAAACAGAGTGTTATGTATGTATGTATGTACGTCATGTAAATCCTTAAATATAAGATCTCATAAGATTATTTTCTGTATTTTGCATTCTCAACTATTGTTGTATTTCTTTATAACTATAATTTAAAATCTTTTAAATTCATTTATCTTCAAAAGTAATTGTATTTTTAGTATTGAAATCAAAATGGTTATTTTATAATACTGCTTTAAATGTCTGTATCAATAACTAACAAAATAATTTATCAATAAATTCAGTCTACCCACTATTGGTTTTGATTATTTCATTGGCCTCATTTATGGCATAACATTATTTTTAACAGCATTCTAAATAGTACAGTCATTTTTTAGTTCTACCTGGAAGGGTAACATGCCAGTTTTGAAAATTGGCAATATATTTGATGTAGGTACTCTTTCTAATTTCTATTTTGCACCCTCGTACATGCGCAGCTCGCGCCGTTTTTTGCCACCATTTTTCCAAGATGGCTCTCTTCCTATTCATTTTAGGAGAAAAACGTTGACTACAAAATTAAACTACTCACAATTACTTACAATTCATGTCTAGACAGCTTTTTGTAATAAAGTATTTATGGTGCCAGAGCACAACAAAGTTCATTTTTATGAGTATTTTGGGAGAAAATTTAATTTCCACATCACGTGAAAGTAGAGCAAGTGGCGGATTTTTTTTATAGTTTAGCTCTTTATAGGTCTAATGTTCATACGATTGTAATACACACTTAGGAACTTGCCATAATCTCCTGCCCTGAGCTATTTCTGATGAATTTCACATAGGATGGGAATGGGAGATTTCGTCTTGGGTACAGACTTACAATATTAAGGTTGTGGTCTTGGGCACAAATCTTTGCGTCATAGTCATTTTTAAACGAAAATGTATACAATGAATCTGCAAATGTGCGTCTCAAATAATCCGGCCAGCAAAACTAACGCCAAACTTACTTATATTACAAAAAAGGTAGCTAGACATAAATTGTACGAAATTGTTTCAAAAACATTAATCTTAAACACTCTGTTAGTTTTGTCTTCTAGATTAACAAGATATTAAACTTTCATTGACAACTACATCAGTATGTGACCATAAATGATTTAAAATAAGAATAATCAAAAATCTGCTCCGCGTCCTTGTAGATTGCCCCGAAATATACGAGGATGTTATATTTTTTTTTATGGCATAAGCCGGTAAACGCGCAGACGGATCACCTGATGGTAAGCAATCGGCGTCGCCCATGGACACCTGGAACACCAGAGGCGTTACAAGTGCGTCTCCGGCTTTTTGGGGATTAGGAGTTTGAGGATCGTTGGGGATTCAGGGATTGGGGAGATTGGGGAAGGGGAAGGTAATTGGGCCTCCGGTAACCTCACTCACACGACGAAACACAACACAAGCGTTGCTTCACGTCGGTTTTCTGTGTGGCCGTGGTATCACTCCGGTCGAGCCGGCCCATTCGTGCCGAAGCATGGCTGTCCCACACTTAATATATTATATCTACAATAAGGGCCAAAGGTTTGATAGGTCATACTTTCGCGCAAAAAGATAGGAAGCCGCATCGCATTGGTATCAAAAACTCTCACTCTAATACATGGTATCGTGCGAAGATGTATTCCCAACTAAGCTAGTCTAATCGCCATAAAGTTAATCCACCAGCACCTCGCCACAAAGATAAAAACAACACTAAACAAACCGCGCCACTACTGGTCCAACCTACTAAAACCCCATCAGTACCACATACTGCTCAACTGCGTGTTATCTTAAGCTATTCTGATATTACGGCAAATATGCGCAACACTGATGCAGACTCAGAATCGGAACACAACCCCCAACAAAGTCGTATGGAACAAATTCTAATCAACCAATCTGAAAAGATCATAGGAAAAGATAGATCAACTCATCAACAGATAGGCACCCTCCTAAACTTACTGACCACTGTTATTTCGAAACTATATTCATAATTCCGTTACGTATTGCAGCATGGAACATTAATGGATTATCATCGAACATACTTGAGCTCGAAGAAGTCATCAAAAGTAACAAACTTGACATAGTCTTGATCTCTGAGTCACACTGTTCTAAGAATAGTTGTTACCGCTTAAAGGGTTTTAATATTTACTTCACTCCTCATCGTTCGCTTAAAAGATGCCTGGATACTATTCACCTCACTCCAATATCTTCTGGAGAACCAACAAGTTGGCCAGCTGATCACAATAAGTCTCCGGATCTTCTCGACTTCTTCATAACGAAGGGTATCAGTCTGTATAGTCATCTCTATTCCTCCATAGAATCGAGCTATGATGGTTCGTCTGATCATACGCCCGTAATACTCACGGTGAGCACTTCAGTCATATATACTGAGCCGTCTGATGCTCTATGCCACTGAAAAACTGATTGGCAGGGGTTTCATGAGTTCCTAGAAGACAATATCCAATTGAATACCCCTATGAAATATCCAGAGGATGTCGATAAATCCTTTTTTTTTTAGGGGAAAAATCATCCAGTGACTTCTCCCGCCCGGGTGAGGCAGGAGGGAGTGTCAGACTCTTACTGACTAAAAACCACCCCGTTCCTACTCCTGCACTTCGAGCCGGAGCCCCGGCAACCCGATAAGTCTTCCGCGGCTCCGTATCGGCATCAGCCCTGTTAGGCTCCATCTGTGGTGGTTTGATGGCTCCTTGAGGCGCGCGCGGAACGCGACGCGCCGTACGCTCAGGCCTGGTTCTGGTCGGGCGGCGAAACACCCGTGCTCGCCGTCCGCAGGCCCGTGCTTACGGTGGCCGGAGATCGTCTCGCGATCCCCGACGCCCGGAGTGTCTCTCGCGACGGCCGGGTCGTGAGGAGGTTCGTTCCCTCACGCGCTCCGCCTCCTCCTTAGCTAGCATGACTGCTTCGCAGAAGGAGGAGACGGCATCCCAGTTATCCCAGTGCCCCTCGCTCCGTACCATGGTCTGAACCAGAGCCGGACGCGAGAGGTCGCCGTCGCCGATCACATTCCTGAGGACACGGCGGTGCTCAGTCCACGCAGGACACACCGCCACCTTATGCTCCACCGTGACCTCCGGGCGATCCTCGCAGTGATGACACCCGGGCGTTTCCTCCCGCCCAATCCCAAACAGGAATCTACCGGAACTTCCGTGTTCGGTAAGCACCTGCGTTAGGCGGTAGTTGAGGACGCCGTAGCGTCTCTCAAGCCACTTCTCAAAGAGGGGACTTACCGCTGCAATGACAGCCAGCCCAGCCTTCGGTTGCGACAGTCGTTGCTGCCATTCCGCCATGACATCGCGCCGGAGCTCGTCCCGCCTCGCACTAATCTGGCGTGGCAGTGGAGTTGACCCTCTGTGATATGAGCAGCGCTAGAGCAGGCCGCCGCATCAGGTTCGGTGCCCTCACAGGGGCGCCGTAGAGGGCCATGGACCGCACGACCCCGGCGTATAACCTCTGGATGTCGATAAATCCTGTAAGTACCTTACTAACCTAATTCAAGTATCAGCCTGGAAAAACTCGGCTTGCGTAGCTCGAATTCTGTCGTTGTCTTCAACCAGCAGATATAAAAGCAAAACTTGCTGAGAAGAGATGCCTACGAAAAGTGTGCATGGCATCAGTCACAACACCCTACCGACAAAGCAGCCCTCAACTCAACTGTCACCGCAAGGGCGAAATGTCGCTTTGGCAGGCTACTAAAACCGCTGACAAACCGCAAGATCATCGTCATCCCCTTAAATATGGAAACTCATGGACCCGGACGGATGTGAAAAAGGCGGAAGTATTTGCGAGCCATTCGGAGAATGTTTTCAGACCGAATGACGGTAAAGATGATTCTAGTGTCGGTGATATCCTTTTTTTTTTTTCAGGAGGCTAAGCTCCAACAAAACTCCTGAAATCAACCTAATCACCCCCACTATCTTAAAAAATCTGCCTAGAAAGTGCATTACATTTCTTGCCTCGCTCTTCTATGTCACACAAAGACTTTCATACTTTTCCAAAATATGGAGTGTCGGAAATCATTATGATCCTTAAACCTCGTTTTTCACGCGAAAACTCGTCATACCGACCCATTAGCCTTACACCTGTTCTCTCAAAACTATGGGAGAGGATCTTTTTGGTTCGTCTGATCCGAGCATATGAGCCTATCGTCGGTGCGCCTGCCAACTGATATGTGCAAATATTTAGTTTTTTTTTCTTAGCTAGAAGTCCTTCACATCGGATAGCGCATCGATTACAAAAACAAATATGTGTTATTTCCCTATACAAATCGATTAAACCGATTGGTCTAATCGATTTCTGGTATATAAGATTTTATATGTGCACTTTCTGGCCATGACAAATTGGTTATGTGTTCGATTGGTTACGGTTATGTGACATAAAACTCACATGTCAGAAGTTGCAGCATCACTGGTTTGGCAATGGTTTGGCAGATTGAATATCAACAGTTTTTGTTTTAAATTTTTACCTTTTTCTAAGATAAATCTGATATGCGCACCAAAATCGAAAATAAAATTATTGGGGATGAACAATACATGTTATCATTTTCACTTTTACATCAGTTATTTTTAACATAATTTTTGCCATCATACTGCATTTTTAATTTATTGTCCATAAACCTTTCAGTGCAAGTGTAAAAAATATTTTATTGTCTCCTCCTAAAAACTTGACCAAATGCACATAACAGTTTTGGCAGGCGCACCGACGCTATGTGACATCCCGGCCACCAGTTTGGATTCCGGAAACATCATTCCACTATAGAGCAAATGCACTCAGGTCCACCATGAGATCAGATGCTGCTTTGAAAAGAAACAGTACTGCTCGGCGGCATTCTTGGACGTACAACAGGCCTTCGATAAAGTTTGGGACAAAGGGTTCCTATGCAAAGTGAAAGAGAAACTTCCTCATTCCCTCTACCTCATTACTAAATCCTACCTAGAAAACAGACTCTTTCAGATAAAGCAGAGAGCCGCCAGGTCTACCCTGAGTGAAGCGGATCCAGGCTGGTGCCCTCAGGGCTCTGTACTTGGCCCTGTGTTATACAACATTGGATTCACCTTGGATTTACCTGTCTCTACGGAAGACACCGTAGATATACATATGCAGATAATATTGCCTATCTCGCTAGCAATGATCTCCCATCAGCGGCCACTGATAAAGTCCAACACCTACTAGACGAGACATAGGTACGCATGGATGGAAAAGTGGCGCATTCGGGCAAGTGCTCAGAAATCGTTCAAATTTGGCAACCTGCTGTCTGCGAGGTTCTCCAGAAACGCGGAAATATACGAATATCTCAACGTTCCGATACAATCGGAAATTGATAATTTCAAGAGGAAATATGCGGAACCGCTCTCGAGGCATCTAAACACTCTCGCCAATGAACTTGCAAAACCGACGCTCACTGCGAATAGGCTAAAGCGGAGGAACGTGCTTTGAAAAGGTAGAAGGGGCACTGGTTCCTTCGCCTAATCGTCATACATAACAACTGAACTCATCAGCTTATAGTCTTGCGACTGATCGCAGTTATAAATAAAAAAAAAATCTACGGTCATGCATGTCACGCTACGTCAGTTATCAGTGTTAATGTAACTGTCATTATTGACAAGTATGACATTGACAACTCAGGTACACGCCGGCCCATTCGCGCAAGCGCAAACGCTATATTTCTATTGTTTCTGTTTTGTTGTTATCAACAATATCAGCATTTCTTTTGTTTACTTTTATAAAAAAAGTTTTTCTAGTTTCAACAGAAATGATTACGAATTGTCATTTGTTTGCTCTAATTTCCGTTATAGTTTCTGTTACTTCTAGTACAAATAATGAATTTTGTAGTAAAGATGAGAAATCTTGCTTTGAAGAGCACAACAAATATAGCAGAGGTAGTAAAAATACTTACCTTTATTATTACATACCATAATCAACTATTATTTTTCTAACAATTAATAATCTTGATAGATTATTATTAACAATAGTTATAAACTCAACACTAACATGCATATTTGATTTACAGAATTAAATGACTGGTCCTTAAAAATCAAAGAACAAATAAATACAGCTATTAATGAATATGTTCCTTGTAAAGTAGAAAATTGCAGCTGTCATAAGTCATTAATTGATGAGGACCTAGCTCCATTTAAAGGAGGCATAACTAAGGAATTATTTGACAGAGCTCGTGCGAAAGCTACCAAATATCAGGTAATTTAACAAGTTTCAGAGAAACGAAGGTTTCAAATTTGAATAAAGTGGGTGATATTTATTACTGTGCAACAGCAAGATTATCTCATTCATTCTGTTATTTATATAAAACTAGCGACCCGCCCCGGCTTCGCGCGGGTGCAATATGCATGTATTATACATACAAACCTTCCTTAAGAATCACTCTATCTATTAAAAAAAACCGCATCAAAATCCGTTGCGTAGTTTTAAAGATCTAAGCATACATACGGACATACAGCGAAAGCGACTTTGTTTTATACTATGTATTGATTGATATGTATTGATGAAGCATTAAAAATTGTTTCAGATTATTGATGGAAAGTTGTACAGAGAAGAAGAATGCCATTTTCCAGCTAGATGTGCAGGTGTAGAACACTATCTTGTTGCAATAGCAGCAAAAATGCCTAATTTAGAACTAGCGCTGAATACCAGAGATTGGCCTCAAATGAATAGGGCCTGGGGCCATCCAAAAGCACCAGTATTATCATTTAGTAAGGTCCTGAGACTTAAATTTATTTGCAAATGAATTGAAATATATTATCCTAACTTTTTGAACTGGAACATCTAAATGATCACTTACTGAAGTTGTTACAATGTTTCAGACTAAAGATTATTATGATATAATGTATCCTGCTTGGAGTTTCTGGGAAGGTGGTCCAGCTATATCCTTGTATCCTACTGGCATAGGCAGATGGGACAAACATAGAATCTCAATATCTAAATCTGCTGAAAAGTTTGTATTTCTTCTCTAAATATTCGTAATCAAAACTACATAATATTTAAGAAATATAGTAAACTCAATACATAAATATGGGACTCATAACATAAATTGTAAACAGTGGGTGTTACATTGTACAGTGGCATTAAGTGCCATAATGTGCCTCAGCCTACCCCTTCAGGGATAAATATAATCTGCTATAAACAATGTTCTATTGTTGTGCCATAATTGCTTCATGTTAAGTTGTTGTCCTACTGTAATTTACACTTTTATAATTATTTCCAGATGGTCATGGGAAAAGAAGGAAAGTAAAGCCTTTTTCAGAGGATCTCGAACAAGTGATGAAAGAGATGCTCTTGTACTACTCTCTAGAGCTGAGCCTGACTTAGTTGATGCTCAGTACACCAAAAATCAGGCTTGGAAATCAGATATGGTAATTAAATTTTTCACATTTTATAGATAAATTTACCAGTGGTATGCCAGAATGCAGATCTAAATGAGACATTATGTGTTTTCTATTGTGTCTTTTATACAAGAGGTTAATCCATAATTTGCCAGTTTACTAGTTTTATATAAAAAGGTTAACTAGGAATGTTAATTTACAAAATATTATTGTTTATAATTTCAGGACACCCTTTATGCACCGCCAGCATCAGAAGTGCCATTTGAAGAACATTGTAAATACAAATATTTGTTCAACTACAGAGGAGTGGCTGCTAGCTTTCGATTCAAGCATTTATTCTTATGCAAGTCTCTGGTCTTCCATGTTGGTGATCAATGGCTCGAATTTTTCTACCCATCACTTAAACCTTGGGTACACTATATTCCTATTAGTCCCAGAGCCTCACAGGAAGACATTAAGAAGTTAATTAATTTCTTCAAAGAACATGACGACTTAGCCAATGAAATCGCACATAGAGGCTTTCAACATATTTGGGATCATTTAACAGATAAGGACGTGAAATGTTACTGGCGTAAACTTCTAAAGAAATACGCCAAACTCGTGACTTATGATGTAGTAAAAGATAATAATCTGAAATTAATTTATTAATAAGATAAGATTTAAAAATGTATAATTATATTAGCTATTTTGTAATCCTGTTGTTTATTTAATATTAACAGACTGCACTGTCCTCACCAATAGCGGCGAACTTGTTGCTAGGCACCAAGTCGAATATTGTGATATTTACTAACTTTGATTTCTTTTGATATTTATTTATTTCTCTCATCACATCATTGTGTAAACACGATAACACAATAGAGTAAAAAAAAAAAATACAAAATAAAATCCCGAGACTGGTGTCTGTTGTACTAACTAAAACTTGTATCACAGATCACCAGGCCGAAATTGAAAACCTTGAGTAAATAAAACAATATCTCGGTCACGTACTGAGACATGACAAAAACATGCTGCTTCATCTTATAATGATGGGTAAGATATAAGGGCAGAGAAGCGCTGGGCGAACGGAAAAGTCGTGGCTGCGCAATATTCGGGAGTGGACCGGTATCAGCTCTGTTGAGCAACTTTTCCGCCTGGCCAATGACAAGGACCAATTAAACAAGTTGACGGCCAACCTTCAGGAATGAAGTGGCACCATAAGAAGAAGAAATAAAACAAACATGCGGCATTAAGTCCACCTTGTGTACACTTTGTGCATGAAGCGTTAATAAATGAAATAAAAAAAAACAAAAGATTTTATACAACTGTATTTTTAATGAAATACATATAATTGTAATAAGATTTATACTTAATTATTTGAGCAGATACATTACATATCTCAGTAAATCTCATGCTGTTATAAAAATATAAATATACACATTTTGGGTAATTTCATTAGAACATTGATAAATTCATTCGAAATAATTTCAGTACTATCTATAAACATCATGTTAGCTGTATCAACTCAATCAGTGCTGGAAGAACGAAGTCGAAAAGTGTATTTAATGATACACTATATAGAAATTGTGTTCCTATTCAACATCACCATTTGAGTCAATCCACTTCTTTCCACTATCTGAGTATTTGTAAGATTTCAATACCCAGTACGCAATTTAATATGGCTTCAATCAGTCTCAAATATTAATCACACCAATGTAAAACAGGCACTTTTGACCCAAAAAGCTTTTATCGTATTGTGAGCTTGTTGAATAATTGATAAAACTAAATATGGATTGAGATATTGACACAATATCTCATCAAGTTATTAATCAGCATCAGAAAATGCAATAAGTGATTGGAGAACAATCCTTAAAATAACTTCCATCATATTCTAACCAGATATCTAGAATATAAATGCCATACTAGTTTTATAAATGGCTATGCAACAACCAACACGATATGATAAAATAACATGATTTAATCATTTTAATAAGCACCATTCACTTGAGTTCAAACATACCAGCATAATTTCATTTCACTATAGCTAAAATATGGAATTGACTATTAAAGTACAGTACACACATATATAGGAAGACAGGGAATTAATAGTCATTGCCCCGTTTATTTGTAGTTTCGAAACACTTGAAATTATCTGAAAAGTAAATGGTTGATTAATTAAAAAGTTCTATAAATTAATTTCGTGTATTGTGTTGATTTACTTATGCTACGAAAGAGTCAGCCATAAAGACGTTGATCAACAAAAATGTTCAAAAGTCTTTATTAGGGCTGACTCAAATATTCTATACAACTTGGTTAATTAATTGGTTAGTTTACGCTCAAGTTGGTCAGCGATGGCGAGTAGGAAGTCCTCGGTGTGTAAGTACATGCCCTCCTTGGTATTCTTCAACCCGTGGATACAGATGACCAAGTCCTTGGTCATTTTACCGCTATCAATGCACTCGACGCATGCCTGCAAATGACATTAACATTTTTAAAGTGACCCATCTATTTTGTTTAAAATGTGCATGTTATCTAATACATTACTATGAAGATAATACAGTACTTAATGGTGTGCTAGTGCATAAGTAGAATATTAATTAATATGCTCGAGTATTTTCGTACATAACATTTAGTCTTGAATACCGGTCGTGAATTGTATAATGCAAAGACTGACCTTGATTTTTTTCGAAAATGCCAAGACTTCGGAAATATCAGTTGATATAAGCAGTAGGTATTTGTGCTCTTCTGATATTTCATTTACTTAATAGCAGTAGATACGAAAAATCTACGATTGCGCCAGTTATTTGAAGGACCTATGAGTATTTTTAGCTAGCGCATTCTATAAAATTGCAGCTTGTGTTAGAATACAACAGCCATTCGCTTTAGATTGGATACCCTTTACATAAAATTTCAAGACTAAAATATTGACTTATTTCTGCACAATAAAACCGCAGGTATCGTTCGCAAGTGTCATCGACCTCATTTTGAACAAGATCTACTTGTTTTACCACTTTTACGGCCCTGTCTCAACAACTGGATTTTAATTGAGAACTCACTTTTTCGGAAATTTCTTCAGCTTTGGATATTACAAAACAAAGTTTATATTATCTTATTTTGTACTAGGTAATACTCGGTAGTTTCTGCCTACCCCCATAGGGCCAAGGTGTGTATTTATCTGTGAGTATGTATTCAATAATCAAAATATCGCTTTGATTATCTAAATTAGTTTTCCCCGCCCGTAATGATTGCCTACTTTGATAGTAATGAAGTAATTATCAATTAATAAACTGCAAAGGCTTGATAAAACAAAATAGGAGGTGTCGTGGACTTGACTTATTTGCTGCATTCCAATGATAAAAGGCTTTTTTTTTTCATTTTGTAGATAGCAGGACTTACGCAAACTCGTTATCTTATGAAATAGGTAAATAAGTAGCTTTCCCTGTAACAATATTTGGCAAAAACAATTCCTCGCCAAGATATAACAAATATCAACAAATACATGTTTTCCTCTACTACCCACGACAACGGCATAATCTTAGATGACATAATGTTTAGTTACGACATAGAACTAAGCATCTAGGTTTACACTGTACTGTTTTCTTTGAACTTATTTTTCAATGTAGAGATAAGAAAGATAAAATTTGTAATGGACTGACATAGAATTGTGTATTGTAGCGGATAATTTAGATTTCATGGAGCAAGGTGACTTACGTCTTCAAGAGCGAGTGCGAATCGTTCTAGTTCGGGTGTGTCGTCGAGTTTGGCGCGGTGGATCAAGCCTCTGGTCCAGGCGTAGATAGAGGCCACGGGGTTGGTGGAGGTGGGTTTGCCTTGCTGGTGCATACGGTAGTGCCTCGTCACGGTGCCGTGCGCCGCCTCCGACTCCACGGTGCGCCCGTCCGGGCACATCAGAACTGACGTCATCATACCCAGGGATCCGTAACCCTGTATTGCAAACGCTTACTTAGTTATAACAACTAAAATAACTCGTTGGTAATAAATTCGTGAGAACATTAAGAATAAGTAGTCTTTCTCTTCCTAAATAAAATACCCAAAAGTAAAACCAACTGTCTTTTTAATATTCTGTACCTAGTTCATAATTTTAACTATTTATCAGCTAGTAGGTCAATAATCGTGTTAATAAAGTAATTGACATTATTATATACGTGGCGCACAATTATAGTAAGTAATAACAATAAAAACATCAATGCTCTTCTGATAACTTTTTATCGGAAAGCTGAATTCTAGCCAACTCCGATTAAAACTGGATATTGCCAAATGTTATTAAATTAAAACAGTTGTATTTATAGGTATATACATAGTTTTTATGAATTCGTCTACCAGCAGTTGGTTTTATATTTATCATCTCATTAGCATACAATTTCTGTGGCCGACACGAAGGCGTGGCATTTTATAAATAAGTTTTAAAATGTAGTATGAAGTCAATCATTTAAAAATTACAAACCTGAGCTACAACGTCGGATTGCACATCGCCGTCATAGTTTTTGCAGGCCCACACGAACCCGCCGGCGCCCTTGATGGCCTGGGCCACCATGTCGTCGATCAAACGGTGCTCGTACCATATTTTAGCATCTTCGAACTGCTTTTTGTAATCGCTAGTATCAAACATAATCAATCAATGATAAATACTGGTTGCAACGGATTCATTAAGCATAGATTACATCGCTGATTTGATAGTACAAACATGAGCCATTTAATCCTCAAATCAGTGAAAAAAGCATTATATAACAGAATGATTCCTTTTAATACCTTTGATAAATTTCTTCGAAAATGTCCTTGAAGCGGCCATCATACTTCTTCATAATTGTATTCTTAGTTGACAAATACAAAGGCCATTTCTTCTGTAACGCCACCTGATCAAAGACAATACACATTTATGACGCGCGTCCAATTATTAACATCAGCAAATAGGTACATACTCTCAATAAGTTTGTGTCCGATATGTATTACGATTCATTGAAGCAAGGTCGCGGTGTCCGAACAATTAAACTCTCCGATAGTTTTGCCTCGAGTGCGTCATACTACATATATTTTTATTCCAGATTGTTAACAAAATAAACAAGTTGAAAAACAGATCGATTGAACACATAACCTTACGATGTTACGGTGATAAAGTATACTTGAAGTCCGGGTTACAAGTTCGAATGTTAACAACATTTAAATCAAGGATTCAAACCTGGAAGCTAGAATGGGCGAAGGCGCGGATCGATTCATCGGTGTTGTACATAGCCATGGCTACACCTGGACCTTTGAAGTCATACAAGGAACGCCTTTCCACTGTTCCATCTTCTGCTGTGTAGACCAATTCCACCTGCCGAGTACAAAATCATATTTAAAAATACACCCAAGAGCTAAGCAGACACAAAACTACGCCAGCTCCACAATTTTGTAATCATAAAACTAATTATGATTATTTAATTACCTTTCCGGGTTTTGGTATGACCAAGTCCTGTGCTTTGTACTGGTCTCCGTGAGCGTGACGTCCGATCACCATGGCCTGGGTCCAGCCAGGCACAACTCGAGGGATGCTCTTACAAATAATGGGCTCACGGAACACAGTACCTCCCAAAATGTTACGGATCGTTCCATTAGGACTCAGCCACATCTTTTTCAATTTGAACTCTAAAAAGGAACATTTTTTATCCACAAGCGGCTCGCATTAACATTCGATGTATGGTGTGAATCTTATTACTTATACAAATCACATAGACACACATTAGGAGTTAGAATGAATATCTTATAAAAGGTTATTGACACCAAAATACATATTATTACAAAACCAATATACGCAACTAAGTCGTACTAACAAAATAAAAAATATATAAACGGCCTTCTTGACGTGTTTTTGTCACGCCTGATACGGGGGCAGCTAAACACGTCAGTTTGTGTAAACCCTTGATCTGCTGGTGGCATTTTGGGTCATCTAATAACTAGTATAGATTTTAAAACTGTTGATCACCTACATTTCACATAATTATGTGTACAACAATCCGGTAGCATCACATATCTGTTAATTATAACGAATGAAATGGTTCGTAAAACATACATGTGCGGATAATTACAATTACAACATGTGTGTCGCTGTCGCCGACCTATTTTACACGATACTGGAGTGTTAATCAAACCTTTCACTCACAGACGAGACAGATGACACATGTCTCGTCTGTAAATGTACATATACTTGGGATATGGGTCATCAATGATACTCTACAATGTTACTTCAGTTAAATGATAAGTGATTTATATATTAACATTAGATTGATTAATAATTTCATTTGTCACGCACGGTTAGTCACGTAACTTATATCTTATCACATTGCAAACCCCTGTATTAATATTTTAATTTAAAAGTAATTCATTCAATACCTAAATCAATCATTGGTATTTTTTTCATAAGGGAACAAGAAGTTTGGGACTTCAGTTGAATTTAGTAATAATTTTTCATTTGTGGAACCATTTTTGTAGTGAATTCAGATAAAGTAAATATAACCTACCTATTTGTTTATCGAGCTGTTTTCATTAAGACCTTTTAATATCTTATGTCATATGTATAACTACTTTTAATGCAGTTGCTACTGGTTTCACCAAGTAATTTAATGAAAACTTTCACATTGCATAATAATACTCAGGAAACATACCTTCGACTCTCTGTTCATCAGGAGTGATGGTGGCGCATTTGATACCCACATTGTGCTTGAGGATAGCATGGGCAGCATCAATAGTGACCTGGTCATCAGTGGCATCACGGTGGGGCAAACCAAGATCATAGTAAAGGCAGTCCAACTGTAGAAATACTTTTAGTGAGTATCATAAAAAAAAGCTATAATTGTACATAATATTTTGCAAACAAAATGATGTTTCGTTGAGTCTGCAAAAGTTAAACAGTAACCACATATTTGTATAATTTATGATTATACAAACATTTCCTAATTTAATCAAACAGTAGATATATAATTATAAATAACATTTACGTAAGTAAAAATGCATGTATAAATATACCAAAAGTTAATGTAAACTAACAAAATGTTTTATAACATAAGCTACAGGCTATATGAGATATCAGTGGTAACAAATGATAACTAGTGTAGTAAACGGTAACATTGGCACAATATAATGAGATAAGAAAAGTTTGCAGCTCTAATACTTGATAACCTGCTTTGAATTACAACATAACACAGACAACATACAATATTATTATTATTATGTAGTGAACAAGTGAAATCTATTGTTAGGATCAACAGGTTTTAATGCATCTGCCTGCTCTTTGTGTTGGGGGCACAAAGTGTACAAAAAATGCTACCTGCAGCTTGAACAAAAACCCAAAGAGTCAGCTTACCCATTTATGGATATGGGAACAAAATATAAAATAACAAAGCAATTTTTTTCTTTTCACTGCCAGTACCTGAACTATTTAAAAAATACCATGAGCATAGTAATTTATGCTGCTATGGAACTAAAAAAAGTTGTGTGGGGATTTAGTATTTAGACACATTTTTTGCTGACTATGCTTGACATTTAACTAAATAAGTTATGAATAATAGCTTAATCATTGTAGTCGTTTTGGAGTAACAGACAATTATTGCAAAACTATCTTACCTTAACATATGGAAATATAAGTTTCTCTTTAATCATAGACCAAATGATGCGGGTCATCTCATCCCCATCCATTTCAACAACTGGGTTCTTGGCCACAACTCTCTTAGCAGTGCCATCTGAAAGACACAAATCATTATTCCACATACTCAAAGATAAAACAACATTTGGAACCAAAATTATGTAAAAGTTCTAAACTTCTTCGAATAGTAGTTCTATTATAAAATAAACTAGTTCTAGCCTTGCATAGTTAAAGAATAATAGTTTCAAACATAGCAAATTAGCTGGTCTTAAAATAGCTATTAATTTATAAGATCCAGACATTAATAGATTCGTACTTGACTAATTATAAGGTAAATATTCTGTTTCAGTAGGTACTCTTCCTTGCATTGGACAAAAATCCGATGGAATAATATAATATTAAACAAATGCCTATGAATAAATCAGCGTTATTGATAAAAGACCACAGTTACCTAACCAAAAATGCTGTTAATACAATCACAATACTCACAATTTCTTGACTTCAGCACGCTAAGATCTGTTACGTATTTGAATAATTTTCTGCTATTACCGGCCATTTTTTAGTAAAATAAAGCTGAGGTTTTAAAAAATTGCTATAAAAAAACTAAACTGCACACAATGTAACTGCAAGTTCTTTCAGCATCAGTTGCCAAATCGGAAAGTTCGACTTCGATACCGGCTAAACTTGCGTGTGCAACTGTGGATGAATGGAATGACAGAAAAAATGACGTGAGAAAGCACTGCGCGGTAGACGTATACATCGCTTCAACTAGTGCTGTACCACCATGTTACCATCAATGCTTCGATACATTTTTATCGAAAGTCTAGAATTGGCCATTTGCCACCAAGTCAAATTAAATACTTTTTACGAACTGTGAAAAACGAGAGTTTTCTATGAATTTTGTACGAGATTGTGTATTGTGACGTTTTTTTAGCGTCAAACAGTATACCGTCGGTGCGCTTGCCAAAACTGTTATGTGCATTTAGTCAAGTTTTCAGGGGGAGACAATAAACTATTTTTTACACTTGCACTGAAAGGTTGATGGGCTTAGCAATAAATTAAAAATGCAGTTTGATGGCAAAAATTATGATAAAAATAACTAAGATAAAAGTGAAAATGATAACATGTACTAGTTCAGCCCCAATAATTTTATTTTCAGTTTTGGTGCACATAATTATTAGATTTATCTTAGAAAACGGTAAAATTTTTAAACAAAAACTGTTGATATTCAATCTGCCAAACTATCTGTGATGCTGCAACTTCTGACATGTGCGTTTTATGTCACATAACCGTAACCAATCGAACACATAACCAATTTGTCATGGCCAGAAAGTGCACATATAAAATCTTATATACCAGAAATCGATTAGACCAATCGGTCTAATCGATTTGTATAGGGAAATAACACATATTTGTTTTTGTAATCGATGCGCTATCCGATGTCAAGGACTTCTAGCTAAGAAAAAAAAACTAAATATTTGCACATAGATGTTTTGGCAGGCGCACCGACGATACATATATCTTACAAAAACGCAGGAAAAATACTAAAATTAAGTTGGTTATAAAATTAATTGATAATAATGTGGTTATTTTTTTAAATTATGTTTTACTAACCATTCGAAATAATTTATTTTTGAGGAAGGTTTGTAACAAATTTATGTGGCAGTTTGAAAAATATATAATAATAGTGGAGCAGGTGAAATTCTTAGCTTTTTAAATATGTTATATTTGATGGGCCGACGTTTGACCAGATCTGTTGTATAGTGTATTGGCTTGTATTGTATAGTTCTTTTAGAATAGAATAGAATAGAATAATTATTTATTTGCTCAGAATGCAGGTATTTACAATAAGGTGATATTATTATATTGTTCTGTCGATCACTAGCTTGTGTATTTCAGGTCAATTATTTTGTTAGTATAAGTCTGAGAGCCTATTCAACAAGTCACCTCGATTGCTTAACCAATTCAAATTAAGGAAGAGCTTGATTCTACACTGAAAGACTCTTCGCCATCATATTCAACGATTAAATTGAAAAGTAAAAGTTGAACGAGCATTTCTAATGAACCACGTTCAGTACGCTCCGATGAGGTTACTACTGCCGTAATGATCGAAAAATCCGTAAAATTAATTTTGTTGAAGGACCGTAGATTAAAAGTAAATAAGATAGCTGAGACAACCAGGATATCAATATTGAATGTTTACGCAATATTTTACATGACCATTTCAACATGGAGAAGATTTGTGCTAGGTGGGTGTCGCGTTTGCTAATGGTCGACCAAACTTTGACCCCGAAAACAGTTTCAATCGACAGTGAATTTTTGCGTCGATTTATAACTGTGGATGAAACTTGGATTCACCACTATACTCCTGAAAGTAAAAAGCAGTCGAAACAATATATTGGACTAGGTGAACCAACCCCAAAGAAGGCAAAAACTATTTTATTGGCCAACAAGGTCATGGCGACTGTGTTTTAGGTAGCTTAAGGAATAATCTTCATTGATTTTTAGAGAAAAGCAAAATTATCTACTAGCGAAAAAAAATTAAAATAAGTTGATTTTCATTATCAGGCCGGAAACTTTTCACTCTACCCTACACACGTATATTCTTTATCGATATTTTTGTAACTTGACATCACTAAGTCGATAAATGCTGAGTTTTACGAAATGAATCAGTGTGACCAGTAACTTATTTTCTACCTTTTTGGGAATAAATTAAAATAAAAACAATATTCAGTTACTTCCATTTTAATCATAAACACCATAATTGTAAATACCGTTAGCAATGCAAATATAATATACAAATATATTTTCTATGAAAATGTATATTATAACTAACGTACTTGCTGTTTGTGTGTGTGTATCTATACAACCAAGTTAATTGCTGGTATTTACAACTAGCTACTTCCGCGCGGTTTCACACACTCTGCTCAGCTCCTATTGGTCGTAGCGGAATGTTTTATAGCCATCTTCGATATATGCATTATACAACAGAAAAAGAATTATTCAAATCAGACTTGTAGTTACAGAGATTACGCGTCAAACAAACAAAGAAACAAAAATACAAACTCTTCCGCTTTATATAATAGTATATAAACATAACATCACGCCTTTCATGCACGAACGGGTAGAGGGGCACATTACGGCACTTAATGCCACTGTACAATGTAACACCCACTTTTCACTATTTATGTTATGAGTCCCATGTCATAGGGGGTGAGCCTATTGCCATATACCGGGCACATTTCCAGACTCCGTGCTACTACTGAGATTTTAAAAAACTCAATAATACTTTGCCCGACCCGGGAATCGAACCCGAGACCCCCTGTCCGGCAGTCGCACTTGCGATCACTCGGCCAACGAGGCAGTCATATATATAATAATGGTATATATAATACATTAGAGCAGGGCTGTCCAAACAAAGGCCCGCGGGCCGCATGCGGCCCACGGCCTGTTTTCATGTGGCCCGCGACACATGTTTTAATCTCATCATCTTCATCTTATGTGCAACAACAATAATAAAATTCAGTGTATGATTTGTATACAAATTTTGTCTATGAGTAAAGAATACAATGTTAAACTTCATTGTACAACGTGAAAATATTTTTCTGGCCCTCCAGCTTTTGTTAGAAGTTAAATTAGCCCGCGAGGGTATATAGTTTGGACAGCCCTGCATTAGAGTATAAGATAATACAGTCTTGACATTCAAACTATGCTTGTTGGACGAAATCATTTTGTTGTTGAATTTAATAACACTTCAAACTACTTTAGATATTGTAATCACTGGTTAAAATTATACATGTACTACTATCCAAACCAACTTCGCTCCTGAAACTCTTAATACCTACACTATTATTGAGCAATGAACGTAATAATTTAATAATAATGACATTTAAAAACAAATTTGCTATTATCAGAAGAAATTTAATTCTTAGCTATGCAACACTGTAAGTAACGCACACAAAGACATTGTTAGAGCGAGAGAGCGACTTGCAAGTTAAAATTTGAAAACAAAGCGTCAGTGCAGTTTGTTCGCCGCACGTACTGTGCGAGGAGCGGCAGGGCTACATCATTATCGGATATTATCAGTTGCTTTTGCCGGTTGCCGCCTTGCTGGAATTCTTCGTGTTGCTGTACACCTACTGCCCGCTGACTAGCTGAGAGTGCTTAACACGCGAAACGGACAGACCCAACCGGTAATAAACTATAACAGTTCTGTTTTTAATTATTTCATTATCGAATCCAGTCACTTGCAAATGCCAACTCTACCAGCGCACCGGGCACGTCGAGCTGCGAGCTACGGACTAGGACGTATTGTCTGGGAGCATTTTAGGCATTTCAAATAGTTTGCAAATTGTTACAGAATAATAATTTTAGTGCCCTCATTTCACTTTTCGCTCATCGTCACTTTTGTATGTCCGTCTAAATATATTTACTTCGAACACCGTCTCTTCTACAGTCTTCGTGAAGTTTTTGATTTGATGCACAATACATTATAGTTTTATTGAAGTTTATTGAATGAAATAATTAAGTACGCCACTAATCTGGAAGCCAGCTTCAGAAAATTTGTAATTGTCATTAAATTGAATGAAACGTGTTATTTATTTATAACTTAGAGAATTTATAGAAGTTTTCTTTGTTCCTTGAAGTGCTGAAAAAAATAGGTCCAGTAATTAGGCGGATATTTTTAGCTGTACTCGTTCTAGTGGTATTAATTTGTGACCTATATTATTATTTATTATCTGGATGCTTCATAAAAATTGCATGACATGGTATAAAATCCGGTCGTAAATTCATTTTGTGTAGCATAATCTGATAGCAAGCTAAGTGATAGCTGTGCCTACTGTAATAATTACATTCACACGCGTTTTCTTATCTTTTACGAAAAAAATATTTTTGCGCAATTATGTAATTAACCCATAAATTACCAAGCGGTCACCGGTGACCGCTTTCCACTAATATTACATTACATTATAGACCTTATTCGTAATGTTTAGAGACTACTTTTGTATGACCAAATTTAGGGGGTGGATTTCAACAGGTTAAACTTGGTTTAAACTAAATATTGCTCTCACATATTATGAAGGTAAATAAACAGCCATAGACATAATTATCGTGGAGCCATCTATTTAAGATTAATGGAAGTTCTTAATGCCTCTCCTTGAGAGATGATCTATAAACTGTAAGAACATAATACTTAAACAGCATTTTTAAATTACCATTCTTTCAATAGTTGGAAGATGATGTTTTATAATTTTATTTGTTCTTTGGTCTAGCCATATTATTTACTTGTAATGTTTTTTTTATTTACTACAATTTCTTGAAACAATATTAGCAAAAAACGATAAATGACAGTAATTAATAAGATCTTATTAATAGTTTGCTTGTTTTAAACTATGACTAGACTATAATATTCTCTATCATTATATGAGAATATTATAGATGAGTTTAGTTAGTAGGTATGAACCTATGTTAATAATTAAATATTTATTTAGATTAGATATAAAACCATTAGTTATACAAAATAAAGTACAGTTACAAATTAACTTTATAAACAATGTAATACATTTTATGCCTTAATTTGAAATACATACTAAACTTTATTATAATACATAGCATAATAATAATGTTGTAAACTTCATTTATTTTTGTTACAGTAACTAGCCACTATGTCTGGGTCAGTGAGATTACTATGTATTCGCAAGCCTCTGCAGCGGTCATGGCATTACCGGCTTTCGA